ATATAATGACATTACATTTTTTTCTGCAAGCCTCTTGCTCAAGCTCTGGGCATGTCTGATAGTGATCTTGAGTGAGTCTATAATTCTGAAAGTGCATTTTACACTATTTTTGTGTCTTCAGGATTTCAGGCTGTCAGGAAGGATAAAATCACAACCAAAGTCACTTAATGTACACTGAACAACTTCTGCATAACAGATTTTCCAGCAATTTAGCAAACACAGCTGATAAACTTTTCCTTATCTTTTTTCCGTGTTTGTCTTAGACTATAACTGCATAAGGAGATTTGAGGTTTTCTATCTCCCCCATGAGCTATAATGGGGCAAAAATCTCCCATAAAATATGCAAAGGATTCTGAAGTGTTTGCGTGGATCTCTCTCAGTATTAATAAGGGAGGATGTGCAGATTAAAGCCATCTGTGAGATTAAGGTTTGTGCACAAATTCTTTGTCTTGCCTGATATCCAAATGACTTCTAAGCTATTTCATTGTGGCTGGCCATTTTGTGAGTGTAAGGCAAGGGCAGCAAGCTAGGAACTTCAATGAGAAGAAACCCATTACAATTCACATGAATATGTTTTTACTTGGTTCTAACAGAGACTCATAAATTGCCATGTTAAGTGTGAGGCTAGTCGTTTTTTTTTTTTTATTTTGATTTGCTCAATTGGTCAGGAAATGAATATCACTAAGATAGTGACAGTTTATACAGGCCTATCGAACTGTCATTTCACTTGTTCTCTGGTATTTTGTGGCGGAGGATTGCTTACTGCTTTGGATGTGATATGGTGCAGAGCTGAGTGTTCTTTCCTGAGCATCAATTCAGAGGTCTGATTGACCCACTTCGGTTGTGTAGTGTTATTGAAGTTACTATGCATGTGTAGCATGACTTTTGTCCTCTACAAATTCAGAGAGAGATAGATAATGGCAATTCAAGGTGCTAGTTGCAGCCAGGATACACTTTCTATTAATAGGCTTTCTATTATTTTCAGTGATAAATCTCAAATGAAGAGAGAATCATTATCCCTCTTCATATGAATAAAAAAGAGGTGCAATGACAGGAGCAGCCTGTGTGGGGATTACATAGCAGACTGCCAGCTGAGCTGGAACAAGACAGCTTTCTGAGCTCCTCGTTGCTCTAGGACAGCGCTCTGACTACAAGAATTGCCAGTCTTTCTCCTTTCTAAGGCTTCTGTGGTCAACTCTAAGCTAAGATGGAGGCTGAAAATTTATTAAACTGAGTTCACTTTTCACCTGTAATAAGAAAAATGTTTGGGCTTCTTGTTTCTTGCACTGCAAGTGGAATATATCTTAATTTTTGTTTTCATGACTAGCATAAGTTTCTAGTACATAAATGTTTATCTGAAAATTACCTTGCATTGCATTATCAGGTAAATGGGCATTTAAATGCAGTTACCTAAGGAGGCCTCTAGGTTAGAGCATTGCTGACTCTAAACTACAGTGATGTATACAATGTGTTATTAATACATATGTTAAATACCATTTAACTGGGATTACTTCTTTGTTTTCTTTCCTTCTTTCTTTGAAGATACTTGTTTGCAAGCATTGTTAGTCCTACATCTGATGGTTTACCATATGGATATAATTATTGTGTGTTTCCTTCCTACCGGTACTTTCCTTTTTTTCTAATTTAAGGTTCAGTCCTGGATGCTGCATATGAACCAAAGGCTTTATGAAAAGCCAGGCTGCCATATTCATTTATCTTTGTTTTTTCTTTTTAGTTTTGTTATTATGTATGCCAATAGCATTATAATAAAATAAACACTGTTAGCATGCTGGGAGATTCAGCATCAGTAGGTTAAAAGTGGCCAAGGGTTAATTTGTTAGAGAGAAATCTCATTAGGATTTCATGGTTTTGCTGTAGTCGCATACTTAGTTGTTATTTTATTGAGTCTGCTATAGACTATGCTTTAAATATTGCTGCTCAATAGTTGCTTAATTGATGGCATTCCTTTGTTGTACATCAGCTTCAGAAGTACATCACATTTACTGGGGACAATGCTTAGAAGGAATGGTTCAGATAAGAATTTTAGAAAACAAAGTAAGATCTTTCTTTTTTCACTTCATATTGTTTTAAAATTTATTTGGTTAATATATTTCAGTTGTGACTATGGTTTTTTTGTGTTTTTTTTTTTTTTTTAATTGAATTTAGTTATCATACTGGGTTATGATTGTTTATTTCTTTATTTGAAAGTGTGGTTATATTTTCACATTTTTTCAGGAGAAATCAGTGTTTATCAGATCTTCTCTTCATTCTGCCTTTCTGGTTTACTTTGATTTTTTAAGTTACAGCAATGATTTGTAGCTCCAGTGTGTGTCAAATCACGCAAGAAATATATATTTTATTGTCCTCTTTCAGATAACTGTGTGAAGTATATATTGCCATTATGATATGAAAATAATATGTATTTTTCAGTATATAGTGAGGATTTATACTGTAATTGAGTTCAAGTGTTTCTAAAAGAATACAAATATCTTGTTTACCAAGCACTGCCACTGAGAAAGCTGAATTATTTTAAACAATTTTTAGCAAAATAAGTTCAGCACAGTTTTCTAGAATATATTCAAGTTGATCAAATCTGTTCAGTCTTTTCAATTTTTTTTTTTTTTTCCAGAAATAGTAGTTAAAACATTAAAAGTTTATTACATAAATAAAGCAAGGTTGTGGGTATTTTTGGCAAGAATTCAATATTGCAAAATTACTAGTGTGGCTACACTACTTTACATATAACACAGGTATGACTGGTAATAGTATGAGGCTACATTTCTGCATATAGAAATTGGAGTGACTTGATGGCATATATGTTAGGGTTTTGTTTTGTTTTTCTGTAAGCATCAACTTCTTAATACTTAATGACAATTTTTCTCAGCACAGTGGATGAACGGAGAGGAGGATAAAGAGGTCTTCAAAATAGCTTTACTTCTTCCATTCCTCCCTAGCATGTTCAAGGGCCAGAGATGAGAAGGGGAAAGGGGAGAGACACACAGTATAACGAGCAGCAGCAGGCATGCAGTGTGTCTCCAGCTGGGACACTTGGGCTTCTCCTGGAGTCACAGACCACCCTGGCACACTGAACACAGCCATTGAAGGGTGCTTGAGCACTAGTGAGGTGCAGGCCTCCTCCAGCTCTGTAAGCCACCAGTGAGGTGCAGACTGCAGCACAGGGAAGGACAGGATGGGATCAAGCTGTGCCAAGTCCGCAGGAGGTGATGAACACCTGACATGGCTGAGGTCCTACAGGAACTTCAGCTTGGGAAACATACACGCCAACAAACTTTAATGTGCTGTTTAAAGAAAAAGTCATCCATCATGATTTTGATTTAGACTAGAGAGTCCTGTATTCTGGGGACCGTTTGATGAGTGGCTCAGACATGCACCCAACAGGAGAGCTCCATCAGCTCTGCAGAAGGCAGCTGACCTGGCAGGTCTGTGGGTTAAGACATGAACTCCTGGGGCCAGACTCTTCCAAGCCCATCATGTCCCCCCCAGCTGCTTATGTCTGGGTATAAATATAAATTTAAAAAAAAAAAAAAAAAGGAGTAATTATCCAGGAAACTGCACAACTGCACTTAAACCTGTAGGGTTTTATTTTTTTATTTCCCTATTACATTACAGAAGTGATGTACAGAAGTAGCAGCTCTGAGATTTAGCCAAGAAGACATTACAATTGGGATAGACTGTTTAAAATCTAATCAAATACACTCCTGTAATTCCAGGTGTCCTGGGGAATGGAAACAGCAAGAGCAAAGAAACTAGCAGCTGGTGGAGGGCATTTACCCTGACATGGCAGCATGGGAAGGATGGCCTGGTGGGAAAATAAGGCTCTTATATGGACAAGACAAGTAGCATGTGAGTGTGAACAACAAAACTGGAATGGAGGGAGAGGAGAAAAAGTTGTGAGAGAAAGAAATATACTCCAGAATAGCACAATAACTGGAATTATCAATATAAACTAGTCTAGAAGCAACCTGAATATTGTTAATGCCTTGCAGGCAATTTACTCAAAAGTGTTGTTATTCCCTTAGGTGTGATGAAAGCCCTGATAAAGGGCTGAGGACAAAGCTGGATTTGGTCCCTCAGGAATCTGTCTGTCAGTTGTGGAGCTGCAACAGATCAGAAGAATCTGAAACTTTGTATCTCGCAGCATGTCATGAATACCCAAGTATGCCACCTGTCTGCTGTGCTATCTGCTGTTCTGTGCCCAAAGCCTGGACAAGGATGGATGCTGTGTAAAAACAAACTGCTGTTCTGTGGTGTGTCGGCAGTTCAGAGCTTTTAGGCCTTCTGTCATCCACCCTCTGCAGAGAAAGAAAGTAAGTTGGCTTGGAATGTCCATCAGAAATCCTGAGCTTGCACATCTTGCCACCAAAAAACAACCCCTGGGTCTAGTGCCTGGCTGCTGACCCAAAAACTAAGAAATTGTCATGCAAGTAGAAGCAACAACTGATTTCTATGATTCAGCTAAACAACAGCAATAATAACATCACAAAACAAAACAAACTGGGATGCCACCAGATCGTGGTGGAGCAGCATGAAGCCTCAGTTGTGGCCAAAGCCTCCAGGTGCCTCACCTCTGGTTCCTGCGAAGTTTGGTGGGACTGCTGTGCTGCCAGAAAAGGATGGTGTGCGTGTATAGGGATGTTGTTTCCCTGCTTTTCTGAAGCCAGAGAGACTAAACTTGTTCAATTTCTTATTTTCATTTATTTATTTATTTATTTATTTATTTATTTATTTATGGGAGATTGAAGCGGGTGGGGAGGAACCGGGGGTGTAAGAGCCGCTGTAGGATCGCGGGGTCGGTGCGGTGGCACCGTACTGCGTATGACTGCTGATCCTCCCCCCCTCACCCCGGCCGAGAAGCCGCGGGCTGCGGTTCCTCCTTCGCGCCGGCAGCGGGGCCGGGCCGGGCCGGGGGGCGCGGGCCGGGGCCGGGGCCGGGCGGGCGGGCGGGCGGCGATCCGGCGATCCGGCGGGGGGCGCGGGGAGCCAATGGGCGGCGGGGATCCGCCGGCGCGGCTCGGGGGCCCCTGGAGGAGGAGGAGAGGAAAAACCACGGGATTGAGCTCTGTCAGTGGCGTTCGCTGCTTCCGAGGGGGAAGTGCCGGGGAATAATTAATGTTTTTATTAAATTTGGAGGGAATTTTTTTGCAGCCGATCGCCGCGCGTGGCCTTCAGGTGGGTCTTCCCCGCAACTTTGTCCGGCGCCCTGGAGGATTGCGTGGTGGCGGGGGGTGGCCAGAACGATCCCCGAGGAGAAGGCGGCGGGGTGCGTGCTGTGTCTGTGTGTGTGTGTGTGTGTGTGTGCGCGCGTGTGGGTGTGCGTGGTCGTGGCCGGCGGGCGCTGCCGCCGCTGCCGTGAGGTGCCGATCGCCATTACAGCCGAGCACACGGCCCCAGCCGGGGCTGCCAGTAGCGCTGATGGCCCGGGGGATCCTGCGGGAGGGTACATAAACCCCTGCTTCTCGGCCGGCTCTCGGCTGCTGCCCCGAAGTGCTTTTGCTGCGGGTTTTCTTGGTAGAAGCGTGTAGTCCAGGTGAAGGCAGAGAAGGGAGGGTTGTTTTTATGAATGGGACTCTTTGAGGTTAATTAGCTATGCAAATGCAAGCAGTTCATTCATGCTTTTCTTTCTTTCTTTTTTTTTTTTAATCTAAAAGCCATCTTGTATTCCCCTCCAGGCTGATTGGAGTCCAGATCCCGAGGAAATCTCCAGATCCAATGCCCAGTAAATAAAACACTGAGCTCAGACTCGTGGAAGAGCCACAGGATGGATGGATTTTATGACCAGCAAGTGCCTTACATGGTCACCAATGTGAGTGATCAGTTTAAAGTTGGTGTTTATAAACTTGACTCCGACTTGTTTATGTGGGGGAGTTGTGCAGGCAGAGTATCTGCTTTGTTGCCGCTGTAGGGGCGACTCTTCATCTGAGAGCTGTGCATGCGAGACAAGCTTATCTTCCCATTATTCCAATAAACATAATGTTCTTTTAAAGACAGTGTAGGGATAATAAAAAATCCCAAACATAATCACTGGATCAGAAAGGCAAGAGCAGCAACTGCATCCAAAGTTTCTGACTGGGTTTGCATCCAGCACTCAGAAGAATGAAAATGAGTCAAACCTTAACATTTTTTTTCTTTGCTTTCAGGACTTTGCAAACAGTTTGATAAGTGACAGAGGAGGGAAAGACAGAGCAGTCTGTTATAGTCTCCTATTTGGATTTTCCTGTGTATATTATGCAGAGAGGATCTATATGCTATTGTCTAGATTTGTGTACTTTAGATGCTAAAAATACATGGTTAGTATTGTTTTGCTTACGTATTTGTCTGCACAAATAGAAATCTTCATGGATAGCTAGAAATATGTTGCATTTAGACACAGGAATCTTTAGGAGGATGTTAGATGCTCAGCAGCATCTTCTGCTAGAAGCTTGAGGCTGTAAGAAGATCATTTCCTTGTTTGAAAATGTAAAGAATTCATGCTGGCTTTGAGAATTCTTGATTAAATGAAAAAAATATATATATATCCTCAGATTTCTAAAGTAACTGATCTTTCCTGTTTATAGAATCCGCGTGGGAGAAACTGTAATGAGAGACCGACAAATGTCAGGAAAAGAAAATTCATTAACAGAGACCTGGCTCATGATTCAGAAGGTGAGGGCTTATTCTTCTTCCCCCTCCCCCCCTACTTACTTACTAATGCAGAGAAGCTTTTTTGAGAGCTCTTTATTTATTTATTATCAATCTGAATAAACAAGACAAGAAAATTGCATTTACTGTTGCAAAACAAACTGGCAAAGGCAATAAACTGATAAAGATGATATTCTTTCCTTGACTTACCCTGTTGCATTTTAGGTATTGCTGCGCATGCGGCACATGAATGTCATGCACTGAGGCCAAGACTTTGCAGCATCTCAGACAAGTCATGGACAGAGTGCACCTGGTTTTATCTCCTTCAGGCCTCATGAGATTCAGAGCTTTCCATGTTCCCCCACTCTTTTCCACTGGTGTATGCTCACTGGTGAGAGTAGGAGCAGAAATGCTGGTGTGGAGATGCCTTGTTTTCACTCTTGCCTTGTGGTACAGCTGCTGCTGTTGTGCCAGCGTAACAATGATAGGGTTAAAAACCCTGGGAAGTTCAGTTAAGGAAGACTAGGACAGAAGATGTTTTGAGAGCCAAAGTTTTGTAACTTGTTCACATCTGTAGTTGCTGACATAACCAGGGCTTGAGATCTGTGGTCTGGTTGTCAGTTCTCTAGGTTACAAGGTCAGTAGACATGCTCTCTTACACCCCTCTGAGTATGACAGGCATATAGGAGAGCATTCAGGGGCTAACAATACCTCCATATAGATCGTAGCAGGATGAGAACACACTGAGATACTTTTAAAAACCCTACTTATTTGCCTGGAAAAGTTTTTTTCTGATGCAAATTGAAAAGAAAACAACTTCCTGATTTTCAATTAAAAGATTTCCTAACGTGAGGAAAAATGAATAGCCTCTGTCATTTAAGTGTATGTAAATAGTAAACTGTCAGCATCCAGAAAAGAGGAAGTCACTCTCAAAATACAGTAAATTAAAAATAAACCATTTGTCAGTTCAAATATCCTACTCGTCCGTAAACAGAATTTTCGTAACTGCGTTTCGGAGCTTTGCAAATTATCTGAATGCTGCTCTTGTTTGCACCCTTATAAGCAACCAATTTCAGTGAACTGTAAAAAGGTTTTTCTTCTGCAAAATGCAGTCTTGGGAGAAAGTAGTTTCACTTTAAATAAGTACAATAAGTATAGTATGCAGGAAATAGTGCTGGTTCTCTTGTCATACAAAGTAAAACATAAGGTGAAGTACAGAAAGGTTTTCCATTTCTCTTTGCCATTGCAGTTCCTCAGGCCTTTGCTTCAAAATTTTTATAAGATAGTTATAGCCCTGCTAATAAAAATATTCAGTCTGGACAGGGAGAACTTGTGCTGAATTCCAAGAGAGCTTTATCCGGATGGATATTGCAGGAGGAGGCCTGGGTCATATAAGTAGAAATAGTTCACCTATATTAGAAAGACTAGCAGTTTTAACCTCTCTGTGTGTTGCTGAATAAGCCTATTGCACTGTAGAACTTGGTTAATATTCTGTTATTATTTCAAGAACTGATAAAATAATACAGTAAGTATTATAGAGGTGTAGAAAAATCATTAACTGCAACCTGAAAATATCTTTGTCTATATGTTTGACTACCAAAATAGAATTCACATACGCTGTTCTTCAGGAAAAAGATATTTTTGAGTATATATTAATCTTAGGAAGAGATTAAAGGTATGAGTCTTTTATCCCTGTCTTCATCTTTTTGCAGAACTCTTTCAAGATCTGAGCCAATTACAGGAGACATGGCTTGCAGAAGGTAAGGGAAAAAACTGCTTGTAAAAAGAGGAAAAACAACTCTGAAGGGAAGAAGGAAAAAAAAAAAAAAAACTCCTGAACTTGCTGTCTTAATGTTCAGCCCAATTAATTGAGCTCTAAAAGAGCCACCTCATGTGTCATGCATACATTAGAGCCTCTGATGAGTTTGTCTTTGGGGACTCTGGGGCTGCTCTACCCAGTGTCATCACAAATTACCAGGAGAAATTGCTTCCAGCTCACAATCACATCTGCTTTTGGCAAGAACTAATGCACCAAGACTTCAAGTTCTAAGCCTCTGTTCAGATTTTAATTGCAATTGATCAGGTTTATATTATTGTACCTCGAGAGACTACATACAGCCAGAACTGGGCTTGCTGTTTCCTTTAGAGCAGCACATATAATTATTTGGTGTTCTGGTGGAGTACTTTCTGATGGCAGAAATTAGTTTCTCTGGGTTCATCGGGACGGGATGCTTCAAGATTTAAGTGCAAGTGTCTTCTTTCCACCTTGTTCACAACACAGAACATTAGGTGTGTATGGAATACTTAAAAAGTATTATTTCTTGCTTTTTTTTTTTTTTTCTTTCTGTTGCTTTTAAATATTTTGCATGCTTTTCTTCTGATTTGTAGTTATGAGATTGTGTATTGGGTGATTAGAAAACTGACATCGGTCTTTTTTGCACCTGTTTCTGCTTTTAAGTATTTTGAATAATCTTTCAGAGCACATTCTGCCGAAGAGAGAAAGCTTAAAAACAATAATTTAGAAATCTGAATTTAGAGTAGCTGTTGAGAGATTAATTTACCAAGGAAAAAAGATGAGCTGCTGTTATAAGAGAACTTTAACAAAATGCAGGGGAGCTTTCTGCTTATAAAGAGCATTTGTTCTCATCTGCAATGCTTCCTGATTTCTTTTTTTCTTTATACTTACAATACTATTTATTTCAAGCATAAAGATTTGTATGCATTTTCTCTTCTTAATATTACTGGATGAAATTTTAATGTAAACTTCTGAAATTGGATTTTGATGTGAACTAAGGTATTTTTTCCAAATTTATCCTGATCAAAATGGATATGGATATTCACATATGTTTCATTTTTATTATGCACTGGACTATGCATAGTTGTTTATAGAACAGATGCTCAGATTCTTTGGAAGGGAGAGACGTTGGGGTGAGCTGCTTGCTGCTGTTTTTCATAGAAAGAGGGAAATGTTGCTGGTGACTACTTGGTTTCAAACTGTTGTGTTTTTTTTAGCAGCTTTATATGTAGTTAGTCAAGTTCTTAACCTGCAAATAAGGTGTGGGGTACTGTTTATTTTGCTGATGTTTTTTTCCTAGCATTATTTTTAGCATGTAGCTGTTTGGTATGTAATTAAAAAGTGCTTTTTAAATCTGTGGAGCAGACATTATATTTCCATGAATTAGTAAGATTCTTTTCCAATCACTGAAAACAGAATGTCCTACAAGAAGATAGTTTTTTCTAGTATAATGATCAGCTACAACTGTATCTGTCTCTGTGGTAATTTTAAAAAGGCTCTCTTTATTTTATATCAGCTCATTCATTTGAATTAGCCAGAAGTGTGTTAAAATGCTATTCAAAAGATACTATTTTTTGGATGGAGAGAACTTTTAGCTTGATTTTTTACTGGGATGAACATTTTTGTTTCTGAAAATGATTAGATTTCTTTGATCGTAAATCAGAAAAATACAGACAGATTCATAATGCATGTGCAGATAATAAGTAAGTTTGAAAAATAATATGGAATTTAAAATTGATTTAATCATTTCTGTAGGTACATAAATTACCGTAATGGCAGTTTTTATTCTACAGGCACTACCTACTTTAGACTAGAATGAATTGTATCAAAGCCTTTTTTTTCCCCTTTAGTTGAGTGCGCCTCACTTAATAAATTTAGATAGGATTTGAGAGAGAAGGGTGTCTAGATCTATGTCAGCTAGGTGGAGGAACCTTTAAATGCAGGTACATCATCTGGTAAGTATTTGAAAATAAAAAAAAAATAGAAAAAGGTTTTGTTTTTTGTGTAGCAGCATTAATGTGTAAAATGTTATAATTATATTTTTTGACAACATATTTAAACTAAAACTATTGCTGACTTTTCTTACTTAAAGAAATTCATATGTTTAAGGCCATGCCATGTCTTTTATCTCTTCCGTAAAACTTTTCACAGCTTTCCTAAAGGGTAAGCTAAAATCCCAAAAAATCAAGATCAGAAAATCAAATATTGGTTTCTTAACTTGAGCATTACATTTTATTGGAAAACAAACAAACACACAAAAACCAACTAGTTTTGACAGTCTTTATAACATACTGGTTTTTGAGAATATTGTGGCTCTGCTGTAGTGTCTACATGGGTGAGCTTAGCCAGGAAACCAATTTCAAAGTCAGACTTGTTTATCCCTTGTTAGATGTGTCCATTTATGTTCTTCTGGACCTTCATAGGCTAAAAGTCTGCCAATTTGGCAGAGTAAGTAATGTTTACATATTTCTTTTCATAATGCTCTGGAGCCAGGGAAATGACCATGAAATTTTAAAACATCTTGACCCTTTTTAAGAAAAGCAGTGGCAGCTGACCAGGTTTCTCCCACGAGTTCAGATCCCCACTGGGGAGTAACCAGGTCAAACATCTACTTATTAGTTAGCAGAAGAAAGTGAGCTGCATTTTATTACATGCAAAGAATGCTTGCTAGTTTTGTTTTTTGTTGTTTTGTTTGTTTGTTTGTTTGCTCTTATTTTTCCTGAAGCTACCCGTACCGTAACACATAATTTAGCCTGGAGATCAGTTAATGTCACCTGTATTTACAGTTACTGTCATCTCTGAAAAGTTGGTAGCAAACACCATAGAAATGTATTCTTTTCCTACTGAAAGTGGTGAATGTTCTCATGTATTAAAGAATTAATGCAAAATGTAAACAATCTAGTAACCTCTTTAATATTTTATTACTCCATAATTAACAAGCTGAATGCTATTTGCAGAAAACTTAGAGGCATATTCCACTAGCTGCATAGATCTTTATGCAAGGAAGTTTTGCATTTTACATTGTAGCATTAAATGTGCAAGTAAGAGTCTAAATTATTTTGATATAAAACTTACCCTAAATAAGGTTTCTTCATGTTGATTGTTATGCAGGACTGAATATATATAGTAAGTGATTTCTGATGCCAGAAATGTAAAGTTGGAAGCCTTTAATAATTGCTTCAACCTTCAAACTTGAAAGGAAATAGTTAAAATTGCCTGTTGCTAACCAAGACAAATATTATTCAGATATTATCTTTAGTTTTATGTTTAAATAACTTGATGACAACATTTTGTCATGATAAAATTAGAAGATGACTTTATTGATTTCGTGTATTTGGAATTAGATTGGGTTTGTCAGGTAGCAATTGTTCAGTGACTTGAAAAAAATTGTTGAAATATTAATCTAATGTTATCTCATCATGGTAGCTGTTAGTTCTGATCCTGGAACAAAAAGAAGAGAGGAATGAAATTCTTAGTGAGCAAAAGCCTCCTTTGCATGGTAAAAGCATTTAGTTTTGGGAGAATAATAGATTAACCAAGAAACATTTTTTTTTATTAAAAATTACTCTTTCAGATACAAGTTCCTCCTACACTGTGTTAAAGATATGCAAAAAGCATCCCAAGCAAAAATAAATAAGAAATGTATGCAGTAGATCTGCTTTCTAAAGTGGTAGATAATCCATTCCTCAGATGGTAGTAAAATGAAAAAAAAAAATAAAACTTCATGTTGTATGGCTTGAAAAAATACAAAAGGCTTAAGTGAAAACTAAGTGGTTTGAAATAATAATGGCTACAGGTAACGGGTTCATGCCTCTACAGCAGCTTAGTTAAAGTGAGTAAACGGCTACTGCCGGCTAGCGGGATTTAAGCACTGGTTCTTGGTATCTGAAAATGAATTATTTCTCCCAAATAATTAATTCCCACATTTGGGCTGAACTTTAGGAAATGAGTTTCTGCCCTCTGGTCACCTGTGGAGGATGAACCAGTGTTATGGTGAGGTCTAATCTGGTGTTGACTTCTAGTTTACTCCTTCAACTAGGAGGTATGAAAATGAACAGTTTCTAGTTCTTAAAGGGTCACTTTTAATAAAAGAAAGTTATCAAATATTTGTGTAGTTAAAGTGGTTTCATTTAAATCAGTGAAGCTGTGCAGTGGTTTACTGTGCCTAACTTGTTTTCTGTCAGAAAGTTGTAAAATTTAGCCAGTAAATACTACGGAGCCATGTTTGGGAACTATCCATGTTTTTCTAGGAGTAAAAAATACTCAAGAAAGGATGCCTTAATGCAATAATAGCAGAGATCTACCCGACTGGGCATACTCTAAAAAGCAGTAAGAAGATTTTCTTTTCGGGATTTGTGATTCAGAGAATAGCTTCTTTTATAGATTCTAGTAGTCCGACAGATTTGGCTTTCAGAAACTCATAACTCTTAAGTACTTGTGGACAAAAAATGGGGAAAAGTGAGATTAGGCAAAATGGGATGGGTGTGTGTGTTTTCTTTTAATAAAAAATCCAAAACAAATAAAACCACCAGAAATCTACAATTCTAAAAGTTGGTATAGTATTAAACATTCTAAGATTTTTCTTGTTTGCTGGAAAAGTAAATTCCTTTTATTCAAAATAACAATTTTCAAAAGCAAAGTAGGATCTGCAAACTATGAGGAGATGTAGCACAATGTTAAATGAAAGTGTTCCTTATAAGCTATCTTTTTTTTCTCATTTTTAGTATAGCACCAAATGAAGAACAGATTCTGCGAACCCATCTTCATATTCCTAGGGATTATTCACATAAGGAAGAATTTTGAGATCTGGAGCTAGTTTTGAACTGCATTTAAGTTTATTAGTCAGAGCATCTCACTTATGTAAAAAGGGTTTGGGGTTGTTTTGACAGTAAATCCAGTGCTTATGGGAAATAGTTTTTTTTTTTTATCATCTTGAAATTTGTCACTGTGCTGCTTCTGAATGCCCCTTTGTTAGAAACAGTTGTTCCTCTGGAAAAAAAAAAAAAAAAAAGAGAGAGAAAAAAAAAAAAAAGAAAACAAACAGCAAAACCCAAAAGGCAAACCAACCCCCATTATTTCAGGAATATTTATAATGTATATAATCTTTCAGATACTGAGAACTGACAATCAAAGAAAGCTGAAAACTCAGTAGACTCATTACTTCTGAGGCCTGAAAGTCTTATTTTAGCTCCTGCTAAAACACTACTGGCCATGTATAATTTCCTGTCAATTTAAATTTCTTTTGGCACTTTCAATAAATCTCTGATATTTTAAAACAAATGTCTCTTAGCTCTAAAATCATAGCTTGAGGTCAGAGAACACAGCACCAGAGGAAGTGTCATGATACTCAAAATAAAGTTTTAAGTGAAATAAGGAGATTTGCAGCTCTTTGTTTTTTTCTTTAAAAAAAGGAAAAAAAACAAAAAACAAATCTGAGTTGATGTTTTTAAACAAGAACACCTTTCCCTGGAGTGCGGTTCTGCTTTACAAAGCTGTTTGTAATCAGGAGAAGGAAGAGTTAAATTTAAGCCCTTTATAGCTCGCTTAACTTTTCATTTATTAAATATGTTCCTCAGCAGGTCTGTGCTACGTCTTGAGACAAAGCAGTGAAATCAGTGTGTTTATGCCTAAAGTTCAAGTTTACTTTGCTGTAGCTTTCTGGAAGGGTGTGACATGAAAAGCTTGTGGTTGGGGCCACATGGTTCGTGCTGGACTGTGTTTTTGTGAATGGAGGCAGAACTCCAGTTCTGACTGCTTGTCTTGAGGAATTGCTTCGGAGATCAGCTGTCTCATTCACTGGCAGAAAGAATGACTCATACATCTTCTGCCTTGTTTGGCTCCAGGTCATTGTTACAGTGGATAGAGCTGGTTTTAATTAAATATTAACTCCTTTTGTCCTGGATGCTTGTTCACAGGGACTTTTTATTTTTGCTTACTTGCGGGGAAAGTAAGGTAACAGGCCCTAATTTAAAACTTTTTTTTAATCCCTGTTTTTGAACTTCATTCCCTCTGCAAAATGTGCCACAGTTCAGCTTTTTAAAGGCTTTTTAAAACTCTGAAAACTGCAAACAAATCTTAAGTATTTTTGTGCTGCAAATGTTTGCTTTTCACAAACTGAATTTAACTGAGTAGGTAGTGAAGCTGTAAAATCTAAACTGATAATGTCCTCAAGATTATCATTAACATTTTTCTACACTTCCCAAGTGCTCTTGAGACATTATAGCTTTAATAAGAGGAAAAAGAAAACTTTTGGTAATAATCTAGACAGAACTGGATAGCTTGCTGCAGATGTTGTCTGCTCCAGGAGTGTGAGACTTTCTGACTATGAATGTGGAATGAACTGATGTTGCTGCTTCTGCTATTAGCAGTAAAAGCCACGTGCTTAATATCGTTCAAAACCTTTTATTACTCTTTTGGTATACACTTCCCTTCTCAACCCCCCATAATTAGGTAGCTCAGGGAATGAGCTCAGTTAGATGATTGTTTCAGGTATCTTTTTCAATTTTCCTCTGAAAGGCAAAGTAGAAGAAAAAAGTTTTGGTGATTTATGTATTGTGTCCTGTACTGAGTATGTTAACAGAAGTCCAATGAAGATTTTATAGCAGTCTTGCTGAATTGCAGTATTTGTGAATAAAAGAAAAGAGGAAATGAATGTCATGCGTATATAAATGTGCAGACAGTTGCAACACTGCAAGTTACATTTTCCTTTCAGACGTTCATGTTAAAGTGTCTTTACCTGTCCTTTTAATTTGCTGCAAAGGCTGTATGTAATTATCCAAACTGAATGTATAAAAGCCCTCTTCCCTTTGAGTAACAGGATGATGTATCCAGACCGTTTGGCTTCTCACAGCAAGATGCTGTTGGAAGAAGTCCGTGTATTGGGCTGATGATCCTTTGCATTTCTGCAATATGATTATGTGTGAGTTGCAATTTTGCTATTTAAAAAAAAAAGTGATGCCAGGTTAACTGAAGGAATAATTTAAGTTCTCATCTTTAACAGATAGTGGGTCCTTTTAATTTCTGTGTTTAGATTTGCAGGCTCAGTTTTAATAGCATCAGTACCTCAGAAATAGATTCCGGTAGGAAACATATGTTACCAGGTTGAACGTTTGGATGTTATGCTTTGTTTTGTTTATATTTGGCAGAGTTTTAAACACTTTTGTCTTACTGTATTCCTTGTCCTACAGAGATTTCTAAGGCTGTGTCAGTATTGTATTTAAAATGCATTTTGACATCAGTCTCCATCTCTTTCTAGAGCGCTGATAAAATGATGCGCCTTAATCTCTGTTAAATATGTTTTCATAATTCTGGAGGATCAATGAAAAAAGTTTATTTTTCTTGTTTAATTCAGACCTCATTTACTAATATATTAAATACAAGATTTACTTGAAGTAAATCACGTTAAACTGCTAGAGACAGAGTAAATCACTGTGAAGCAGTCCGGTGCACAGAATATGCTCTAGAAAGTTATATAAGATTGCTGTCCCAGTTCTGCAGTCACTAAATGTAGCTTCCTGCTTTTAGCATGAGCTTTTTGTTTCATTTAGCCTTTTTCAAATATCCCGGCTTCACAAATTGATGTACATGTATATATGCTCTTGTGTTCATATAACAAAATTAGAATCATTATAGCCTCCTTGCTGTATGTGAAAATGATAGCTGGCTTAAGAACAATGTGTGGGATGTGTCTTCTGTAAACAAGAAATTACTTGATGGAATTACTTTTAACTGCGAATGTATACACAAATCTTTTGAAAACAATTGGAAATGTGAAAAATCCTTAGAAATTGATTTTTAAGTACAACTTGATTTCATGATTGGATTCTTCAGGGACAGTCAAACATTGGCATTTTTGTTAGTAAAACATCTAACATTCACATATAGTGAATTGCATGAAATGTCAGAAATTTCATTGTATTAATATTTGGGCTTGTATTGTCCTTCAGTTAATTTCTGGTAAAAGTCCAGTGTTTTCCCTGTTGGAAAGAGAAATTTAATGCATCAAAAATACTAGGTATATTTGGTTTGGTAAATTACATATGCAGCTTCAAACTTTGAGGAGCTAATGTGACCTCCGAGACAGACTTCAGTTAGGAGAGTAGATCACTGTAAGTTGACCGCAAAAAACTAACAAAACAACAGTAGCAATTTTTTTTTTTTCCAAGTAATATCAATTACTCTTCATATATTTATCTTACCTTCACTTCCTTTAAAGACAGCGTATGCAAAGCTCCCAAGGTCATTTGTTCTTAAGCAATATTTGCTACAATTAAGACACTAAGACTTTAAACATTTGTTTTATAACTGAGAGCAAATAATTTTTCAGTATGATGAACCTGATTCTGAGCTCTTTACCCAGGGATAAAAACCTCCCAGTTAAGTGATTAGAGCTATTTCCTGAGTAAGAGATCTGGTCCACACAGAGTACTGAAAAGCACAGTGAAAATAATTGTAATTAAATACGTATTTTTAATTCAAATAAATGCTGTTCAAGCTAGTAGCAATTGCATAAATATAAAGGAGAACATATGTATCTTAAACTGGAAAGGGCTCCAAGGGCATTAAAGTTACATTTTATCATTTACCGTTTTTATTGGTTTGATAGTTACTGTTTCAATAAATTATTATATAACCTGTATTTACCTCTTGAATTTTATTGGGTAAGCAGATCGTGGTAGATGCTAACTTTTAATTAATCATGTGAATTATTTGCTTCTCTTTAGACAAGAAGTGTGTAAATTAAAATATGTTCTAGCAGATAACTTTATGAAGCTTTGCAGCGATGAATGTAGTTAGTGTGTGTTGAGCAAAGGATGATGGAGTTCAGCTACGGTAAGCCGGATCTCTGTAGGATGTAGCAAGGGCCATTTGTGCTCTGAGGATGCCACTCTCCAAATGTACTCACCTATGGTATACGTTCAGTGGTGTTTCAGCTTAAATACTTCTAATGAGATTACAAGACACAATGGCTAATGTTCTTAGGTACACAATGAGAAGGAGGCATGGTACCACAGAAGCAATATTATGTATCAGCAGACCATGAAATGATTGTATTTTATGGCTCAGATTTGTGATGAAAGTTTCTTAAAATCTAAGATGATCTCAGAAAAGTTGAATGGATGTTAATAACGATTCTTATTTAAATAAGTATGTTTTTTTCAATGTCTGAAATGTTGTTATTGAACCAGCAATTCTGTGGTCTGGTAAAATAGCTCTTTTTGAGTATTTAAAATAATAACAAAAAGAGCCCTACTGAGTTGGCTGGCTGCCATGAAAAACTGGAATCATTTTTAAGTTTGCCAAAGATACAGTAGCTTGGGGTTAAAGGTGCATAGGTGTTAAACGCTAGGATTTGGTGCTTTCCATGCAGACGTTTTGCAAATGAGCATGGCAGGATTTCGGCAGGTGCAGAGTGTGGTGCCAGCAGCAGCCTTCCCATCCCCAGCACCCTGTAGCAGGGCCGCACCACGCAGCTTCACCCTGCAGCTTGTCCGGTACGGAAGCAAGTCGCTTGCCTGATTTTCATGCCTGATTTTCATGGCCAACAATGAGAGAAACAAAAATTCTAATTTTAATCTTGGCTGTGCTTCAAATTAAGCACAAGAATCTTTATTTATGCTTTAATGGCTTCTTTTAATTCTTTCCTTGTTTTTGTTTTTTTGTTTGTTTGTTTTTCGTTTTTGTTTTCCTTTCTTCAGCTCAGGTACCTGACAATGACGAGCAGTTTGTGCCAGACTATCAGGCTGAAAGTTGTAAGTACAGAATGAATCATCGCTTTCTTAAAAATATGTCCTTGTATATTTATATTTGGCTCTTTGTATTTGTTATTTATTGTGTCATCCGTGGTCATACGGTGATGCCTTTTGCTGGGCAGTGACATCAGCGTGAGGAACAGATAAAGCAAGTGGTGATTTGACATGCAGCCAAAAAGGACTGCTTGGGCTGAAGTTTTAACCTTTAGCAGGGTCCAGCTCCTGTCCTTCCCGACCCCAAGGAAGTGAGGAACAGGTCCTTCCTGAGGGCAGAGGGGCTCCTTCTTTCCCTCGGTGTAAGGAGAAGGATGCTGGGCTGGGGGGATGTAGCAGACAACTGTCCCAGGCAGAAATCAGGCTGCTCAATACATTTTATATATCAACAAATAAAGAAAAGTCTTCAGATAATAAAGCACAGCCACTGCTGGGGCATTTTAAAGTCATTCTAACATGGTATTTTGTTACTCAAGTGAAACTTTGCCTTGAATCGAAAGGAGAAAGCAGTAGTTTTGTTAAGCTGGATGCTTTGTGTTGGTTACTACTTTACTTAACATGTGCCTATAGTTTTTTTGTTATTCTGTACCCCTCAAATCTTGCTTGTTATCTGTTGAACTGCTGCTGTTATTCTGTTAAACGCTGGCTCTCCTTCACTGTACCTGCTGGTCTGTGCATCTGGGTGGTTGCAAGGGCATTAAAAATATGGAAGAGAAACGAAGTATAACAAAGTCACAGACTTCTTATGGCTGCTTCGCGCTCATCTTTCCTTGCGGCACATCTTCTCTCCATCATCAGATCTTTTCTCAGCACTGTCTGCTGACTGCAGTGGAATATGTGGTAGCTTTCCATTTTGCTAAATAACTTAAATAATTTATCCTATCAGAGTAAATTACTGCAGTTTGCTAAAACAGGTAGCTGTTAAATATAGTTGTGTACTGATATGTTGGAATTAAAATTAGAGAGATCTGAAAGAATTGCATTACAATAGTATTTAACCTCTAAAAAATAAAATCAGAGTTGTTGAATTTTCTTATAAATCTTGTATCTTTTTTTTTTTTCCAGTTACTTAAATATATACTCTGAAAAAAATATTCTTAAAACAATATGACAACGTTTTGTAGAGTTAATATATAAATATGACTTCTCCTGGATGCTGATAGTATACCTGCAGAAGAACAATTTAGTTTTTGTTTTTCTCTACAAGTTCCTGTACAAATACCAACCAACAATTTTAATCACTATTAGAGTTGTCCTTTATAACATTTTTTCATCTCTGCCTTCACAATTTTTTTTTTTTAATTCTATAATCTGAAAACTGAAACTGTTTTATATGTTGAAAATTAAATACCTTATCCTACATATGGAGCTGGGTTCAGATATAGTCATGTATGCATACATCCTTTGTGTAAGAGTACAAAGTACAGTTAAGGGCTTCTATTAACCCACAATTATCGTTACAAAACAAGTCAATGATTCTTGGAAAATAATTTGTGAACTGTGAATGAAAAGCCCCATTGAAGCTTGTCATTGCTTTTGGCGATAAAGAAATTCTCCTAATATGGCTATTTTATTAATGCTGTTGTATTTCAAAGTTCCTTAGCCACAGCTTACACAGTACTATCAAAAGAACATTTATTTCTTCATTTCACTTACTTTCTTTATCTTAAGTAAAGGTCAGAAGAGCTTCCTGGAGAGTTACTCTGGCAAAGGTTATAGAGTTTCAGACATATACATGGATATAATGTATGTAGCTGTGGGCTCTGCTAAACAGGAATGGAGATGAACATAACCAAAGCCATGGGGAAATTACTGTTGCAGAAGTGTCACGGTAGTGACTGTTTTCTCTAGCATTTAAACCTGCCTTCAAACTCTATTATAATTACTTACTATATATAATCTATAAGTCTATATAGTGCACACCCTGTTACTGGCAGGAGACTGGCAGGAACGTTTGGCTCTTTCATTTACTTTTTTATTTTATTTTATTTTATTCCTTTACTGCGTTTTACTTTTTTGCTTTTTAACATGGGAGAGGATGGGTGAGTTTTCATTGCAAAATGTGCACCTGTGTAGGTTCTGTTACAGCCAATTGAGCCAAAAAAAATGGTGGTGAACACAAATGTTACATGAGTGAAGGAAGTCGTGGTCATTTACTATTCCAGAGGCAACCAAACTGTGGTCCACCGGCATTTTTGGTGCATTTTATTTCTCTAGCCTCATTTAAATTTCCTGAACAAAGCTCATTTATGGTGTTACGTACAGATAAGATGTGAGTGTGGTTTGCAGAATAGGTAAAGAAAACTGATGTGCTCCACTAAAACAACTGTAGCCCAGGAACAGTCTTAGTGATATGACACTTCACTTCTAGCTTCATTCCTTGCTGAATGGGCTTTACAACTGAAGTTTGTGGTCTTAAATTGAAACTTGCAACACTGAAAGAAGTAAGAAAGTCAGAAAGGTTATAACAGTGTCAATGTTGGGAAACTGTGGTTAAAATCTTGCTTAGAAATCACTCTGTTAGTCAAATCTTGAAGCAAAGATGGGGAAGGTAGTGGAGGAGCTGTTACTGCTAAAAATGTGTACTGTGTCCTGGCAGTGAGCAGGATTAAATGCCCCTTAACGTGCTGTGGGCTTTGCATTTCTTCTCTGTAATAATGATTTTAACTAGTGAAACTTCTCTGGTATTAGTAACTAAGGGAAACATTTAGTTAAGATTAGATATACAGTCCACTTTATCCACTTAAGGATTTAACTTCAAAGCTAACTTGTGTCCATGAATATTTCAAATATAAGTTGTTATTAAGTTTCAGTCAGTTTTAAAAAAGCAAACATAATTCATGTATTTATAGTTAGGTGTGGGATCTAGATAGTATGAGTGAGATCAACAGCTAGCATAACTTCATGTCATATTATTGACGTTGCTGAGATTATATATATTCCTACTAGCTAGGGATCCAGCTAGTCAAGCTTCTCCTTAATGCTTTAAACTTAAGTTTACTTGTTTAGTTATTTTGTTACTCCATTATGCCTTTGGAAAAAGAAATGAAATATGCCTTCCTCGCAGAGAAATATTAGGCATGTTTACACTTCCAACCTTTCATTTTTCTCAGTGTCCAAAGGCCTATCTTGTGTTATCTTCTTATTATACAACTTTTATCCTTGAGTATGAGTTACAAAGAACTGTTTAGCTTGGTGAGTAGAATGAAGAATAGGTAATAACCAGCCTGTTCTGCTGAAATTTGGAAAACAAATCATTGTTTTGGTTGTTGTAACCTTCTGCTTTCTGTAGCAACCAAACTTTGTGACTTCTATGGAAGAGAAATGTGTATAAAAAGATGTGTTTTCAGCTTGAAATTACACAACAAAAAATATGAAAATTACATATTAAATAGTGTAATTTTCTTACTCCTTCATGTTTTTTCTTAAAAGAAATGCAAAGTCCACTAAAAGACGTGTATGTTTTGTCTTTTCTGAATCCACTGCAGTCACCATCCTGTTTGCTGTATTCTTGAGTGACTTCTTTGTGACTCCTCTTTTAGCAATTATTTCAAAAGTTTCATAAAGGAAAAATGTAGTCTGTTTCTCCAAAAAAAGAGCTTTTTTTTTTTTTTTTTTTTTTTTTGACCACATTTGTGTGTGTGACACTTTTTCTGAATTCTTATCTTATTTCTAAGACTTAGTTAAGCTGTTTTCTGTCTGTATAAAGTCTCTATTTACATGTCAAGAAGGATAACCTGTGTTAACTTCCTCAGATAAGGTTTCCTATTGTTGCCAGTCCATTTTCATATAATGAGGAGGAGCCAGATATTGAACTGGCTGGCATCGGTGGCAGAGCTTTCAGATATTATAGAACTGCAAGGACGTTACGATCTGGGAGTAAAAATGAATAAATGGTTCAGTTTGCTTGAAGTTAATAGCTGTTGAGGTGAAGATTGCTTGCTCACAGTGTTTGGATGATTTCTTTGACAGACACAAGAGGAAGTAGGTAGGATTTGCTGATGTCTAAAGGATGTAGCTGGCAGAGAAAACTTGGTATTGTCAACAGTACACTGACTTGTAATTTGACTTTGGCGCTACTGGTAATAAGTGGCGATTACCCTGCACCAAACCAGATTGTCTTGTGTCTTAATAGCATAATCATGTTTTGTTATTTTAAAATAATTTGTATTTATAGTGATCTGTTCTTCGTTCTTTCCTTCTTTTTTTTGCCCTAAAATATAGGTTACCTAATTAAAATTCTTGATAAACTCTATTTTTTTATTTTTTATTATTGAATTTTTGTTCATCAGGGTTTGTACTTCATGTTCTTGATCAGTGTCCTTCCTGCTCTTTCATTTGCTGTCTGTATTATTTCCCTGACCATCACAGTCTTAACACTGCCAGGTGGTAAATGTTAATGTTAGACCATAGCTGCTGACAATAAATGGGAAGGGCTGGCTGCAAAATCCCTTCTCCTCAATGTCTGATTAAATTTTAAGATAGGAAAAAAATAGTTTTTAGTAGTAAATTTGTTGCTGATCTTTCAAGACCTTTATTCTTCTTTATTCTTTCTCTTCTTTTTTTTTTTTTTTTTTTCCTTTCCTCCAAAAGAGCTCTTTCAGTGTAGATGCCAGGAGCCTTAAATTATTCAGGGATGTGCTTTTTAAATGCTCTGGCTTGCAATCTTTAAAAGCCTGTTAAAGAGAGATTCTTTACATAGGCTTCAGGTAGCTGTATTCTTCTGTCATTTTAACTAATGGCTAAGGATATTCCAAATGCAGTTTAAATGAGGAAAAGCTTTAATATTTATTTACATGTTTGCAGCATGCAAAATCATGTGCAGCTTTTTCACACTATGAAGTGAAAAATGCTGTTTGTTTTCTTTCTCCCTGTGACTTAAATTTCAAAAATGAATTATACCATCTGAAAGAGCACTTTGTTTCAGTATAACAAGAGCTGGTGAGCAATTGGCAAAGGGTAATTTTACATATTTTGACACATTTTGAGGGGAAAAGTACACAACT